GTTTGGGGGGGTTAGGGGCTTGCTTTAGCTTTATTTTTACATTTTTCTACCTTTTTCGTTGCGCTGTGATGACGTCACATACGCGCTTTCGTGGACCGCGATTTTGTCGTCCGCGGTTTTGTGGTAGAACCTAATTTCCTTGACCTGGAGGAATATCGTATAGTCCAGTCTCAGCTTGAATTGGTAACTGTGCCTTGATTATTTCTTCAGTTCAGTAGTTCCTCATTTGAGGATATGTCAGAGGAAGGCACGACAGTTCTAGATGAGCCACATCAAACAAATTGTATTTCACTTAGCATGATGTGTCAACTAACCTGAGAGGTAATTGATATGCTCAAGGACAAAGAGTGGTTTCTTAGTTTTGATTCTATTAATTATGAAAGCAAAGCGCTGATAAGTTCCTTCTTTTGTACATTTCCCTCCCTTTTTGAGTAGGGGAGTCCATAATGAAACTGCAGCAGGCACTTTTCGAGAAAGGCAAACCTAATTACATCCCATACATTTACATCACTAATCTACATGTATCTGTGCACATTTAGAAGTATGGTGAACTTATTCTGAATTTTGCAAAATAAAATCAAACAGAACTAGGAAAGGGTGCTGGAGAAGAGGAGTCGAAGTCACGATGACACGACGTGCGAGCTCAATGCTCTGAGATCGCAGTTGACACTTTTGTCTCTGGGTGGTCCAAACAGACCTAAACCGTCCTGTAGAGATGGTGAACAGGAAGAATACATCTTGCTGATCACAGGGGCATTGCAAAGTCTCTGGATTGATCCAAGAGAAATTCTTCAAGCTGGTGACAAAAAATCCAGCCAAAAGGCTGATGAGGTCGGGGCGGCTCCAAAATGGAAGGATATGGAAAGGGAAAGTATTTTCGGCTGTTGAGGAATTTTTACTGTTTTAAAAGTGACTGCATATAAAAAAACCTTAAAATTAATTTAAACTGGAGAACAGAAGAAATAAGTGGCGGAATTAAATTTGGACTGATTTTGAACAATGGGTTATCTTACTTTTTAAATGCTATTTTTACGGATGGAATTTATGCAAGCCTTTTAAAACAAACGGATTAAGTTTCCTTTTTCTATTTTTTTTCTTTGACTACTCTCCGTAATCTATGGAATAAAACTCTCCTCTTTCATTGCTGTGGGTGTTTTTCCAACTCATTTAAAAATCGGACCTTTTTAAAACTTGAAATACAAAAAGATTACAAAAAGAAACAAAANTTCCTCATTGCCATACAGAAGAAGTGCGTTAGAGGAAATTTTCTGATGGCGGTTGAAACATAAAATTAATCCTGATGTACTGTCTCAATAAAATTTCAACTGAATGTAAAGTATGAGAAAAATAAATCTGGGCACTTTAAATAACACCACAATATTTCACTTACAACAGGGCTGTCAAACTTGTGGCCCGCGGGCTGGATGCATCATACTCTGGCCACGCCCACGCCCGGTTTAGTGAAGGGGGGAAAAAAAATCACAATACGTCACATGACTCTGCTGTGATGACGCAAATTTGACAGCCTGACTTACAAAGTTTTCAATAAATCAAGAAAGACTGCCTGGGTTTCTCTCTTTCCCCCCAAAAAACTACATATATACATAGACCTTCATGGACACGGACACACATAAACCCACAAGGCAGTGTTGGAGGATTATAAAGCCCTTAGAAACTGCTAAAGGATAATTTCCGTACAGTATGCTTTGCAATTGACACTGCTGTGCTGAAGCTGCTGGGAGCTGCAGTTGAGCAACATCCGGAAGCTATGAGTTCCCCACACCTGCTTAGATCTTCCAGAGCCAATATCTTTCCAACTCTCAATTAGTCCAAGAACTGCAGATACGTGTGCTGTTCTGTGAATTTTAAAACGTCACTGGCTGAATCATGAGGAAGAAAGAAAAATAATATTTTGTTATGATTGTTTGCAGGGCTAACTATTAAAAACTGCTGATTCTGAGCAGCGTATAAGCTCTCAGTAAGTAATTGTGATTTAAAACCATATATTCAAATTAAAAAATAATGACCAGAGCTTTATATAGTCACTGTTTTATTGTGTTCCACTGCTAGCATAAATAATGTGTCTCTGAAACTTTCCCCTCTGCTCTTAAACCAGGAGACCAGTATGCTCAATCTGTGTATTCTCTTGCCTCCACTGTTGTGGTATATTTCATGAAAGATACGTGTTCCTTGTTAGATGTTGCTCAAGTATCTTATGAATTCTACCACTTTTTGGTAATTTTTTATGTTGCCTACTTTTAGGCAGATA